TGTCACGGGAAGGGGCAAACAACCCCCCGGGCTCTGTGGCATCAGCCCCCGCATTCCCGGCAGCCCGGCAGCGGCCATGCCAAATGCACGCACACGCGTTTCTCCAGCCAAATCGGTTCCCAAGCCCAGTCCGGTGCCCCCGCAGCAGCCAGGGCTGGGGGCAGCAGGATGGGGGCTCCGAAGGAGAGCCCAGGGAGCCCCAGCCCTGGGCAGCTGTTGGCACGGGACCGGGGTGCTGGGCCGGGCTCCAGGATTGCTGGCGTCTTCCCTGGTCCGGCTGCCGATCTGCTGCGCCAGCAAATTACAGCGCTTGTCTACATTGGCTGCAGACGGCTGCCTTCGGGCCCAGCTCCTCCGGGGTGTTTGCACAACCCCGAGCACCGCTGGCCACGCAGCTCCAGTAACCGGAGCATCGGGCTGGCGCCGGCCCCGGATAACACCTCCAGCCCCGGAGAGCCGCGACGCCAGGGACCCAGCCGTCCTCCTGCAACATGACCGCAGGCAATGCCACCTTTCAGCCGCCCCGGTGAGCACGTTTGCTGCAAACACCGTGAGAAAGCTGAGCCGTGGCAAGGAGCACCGGGCAGCTGGGAGGTGTGCGGCCGCTGGCATTCCCATGCCCAGGCATCTCACAGCTGCGTCCCCTGACACCCTCCCGAAACACTGAGCGGAGCTGGTGATGCTCGGTGCATACCAGCACTGGCATGCACACGCACCCGTGCCGCGGGCTGCAGCTCTGCGAAGCCGGGAGCACTGCCCGGCCACGAGCACGTCGCCCTGGTGTGAGCCGGTGCCTGTCCCTGTCCTCCCCTGAACTCTGAAGCCCATCCAGTGTCTTGTCCCAGCCTGGCACCATCTCCAGGCCCCCACCGCTGCTCTGTGCTGCCGTGAAGGGCCGATGGTGACGATCCTCACTGCCCTCGCGGTGGCACCGAGCAGAGGCTGAGCTGGGACTCACGAGGAGGCACGTAGTCGTTTGCTTCCCTCCCCATCCCTGCTCGGCGTAGCTCTCACTGAGGTTTTGTGGGTGCCTGGGTTTTCAGGGCTGCTGAACCCCAAACCCAGCGGGGCATCCCCCAGGCTGAGGGGGGCCACGTACCCAGGCAGGGACGGTGCAGCTCAGCCTCTTCCCACCCCAGGGATGGGATGCCCAGTGCCGGCCCCCAGCCCCATGGATGCTGCAGGGAGGCGCTGGCCCCGCTCCCGCAGCCCAGTCCCGGGATCTACAAACCAGACGCTCTCAGCTCAGGCATTTTTTTTTCCACATCTAAGCCCCTGTGATCCAGCCCCCCGCTCCCTCCGCCCCGGCCTCCCCTATCCTGCTCCGTGCCCACGGCCCCTGGCAGAAGGCAGGCGGGTGCCTTTGGAGGTGGCCAAAGGGGGTCCCTGCCCGGTGGGTGTGAGGAGCAGCCCAGGGCCCAGCTGGCAACCGAGCTGCACCCGGGGGAGTTTGGGGAGGGGAGCGGAGGGGCTCCTGGGGAGCAGGGACCCGCGGGTGCTCCTGGGCAATGTCCCTCGCTGCCACCAAAGATCCCTGCCCGCTCGCCCTGCCGGCATCAGTGCAGCCACGCTGCTCTTCCCAGTGCCCGTCCCCGGCGGCGGGTGGAAAGAAACCGTCAAATATTTTTGCTGGCAGCTCAGAGCCAGAGCCATCCGCAGCCGCTCGGCCGCCAGCCCCCGTAGCTACAGCAAACAGTCCTCAGCCAGGCTTTCACAGGTCCCGCACACCTTGAACCCCTCATCCTGGAGCACCGGCCGGCTCCGGCATGTTCTGCTCCCACCACCGGCACGGGCACGTCCCAGGACCGAGAAGCTGGGGCTGGTCCTGCCGGTGGTCCCCGGGGACATAGTTTGCAGGGGCTCTGGAGCCAGGGCAGGCTGGCTGGACAGCCCAGCAGCTAAACCTCCCCGGGGGTCAGGGCTGCAAATGCCACTCCTCTACCCTCTGCCAGAGCTCGAGATGGCAGTGGGAGGGTGCCGAGGTTGCAGGCAGTTTCTGGTTTAATTTGGCTTGTTTGGAAGGGGAGCATTTCCATATGGCACATGCCAGCACTGCAGGAATGCAGTGCCCAGCCGGGTGGGATCCCCACAGACCCCTCGCTCCTCCTCTGCTTTGCTTCCCCTCTCTTCTTTAAAGCAATGCAACAATAACATACACTCGATAGAAACACATTAAATACCAGGGAAAATTAAATACAGTAATTACCTTCTTTTTTTCTTTTTGACGATACAAAGGTTCAAGTTTACTGTAAAAGAGGGTTGGTGCTACATGGGAGTCCGAAGGGGCGGGCTTGGCCCAGGAAGAACTGACAGAAATCACATCGGCGCAGAAAAACGCCGCTGGGGTTGGGGAGCCTTACGCTGGTATATGATCATGTGTAAATACAGCCTTAAACTACAGGAGAAACAATACAAAATGCTGGAGCCCTCTGAGCTGGACACAGAATGTGTCCTGGCAAGTGCTGGCATCCCCGGCCCCAGCCCGGCCGCCTCCCAGCCACCCCAAAACCAGGAGAGGTTCCACTGGATCTGCCAGCACTGCCCCGGCCACATGCAGGGAGGGTCCGGGCAGCTGAGCCCGGCGGGCTGGGGCTGCCCACTGCATCCTGCACCCCACTGTGGTGCTGCCGGCACGGCCACGTGGGACCAGCACCGTGACCGGCCATGGTCCCCAGCAGCACCTCCCCTCGCCCTGGGAAATCCATCCTTTCTGCGGTGGTACTGGGGCACAGGGGGCTCCGGCAGGGGCAGGGACCCCCGTCCTCACCGACCACCATCCTGGCAAATTGACTGAGTTTGGAAGTTCTGCGCAGCCTCCGCCGAGCGGGGCCACAAGCAGCCGGCCGGGCGGGCGCCAGGGCAGGCAGGGGGTCTGGTGGGGTACCAGGGCAACTGGGGGATTTTGGCAGGAGCCCGGTGAGGCACCGAGCAGGGATGCAGCCAGTGGCTCGACAGCTCTGTGGCACCCTGCCGGGGACAGCGGTTTGCAGCGGGGCGAGGGCAGGAGCACAGACCAACCGGACACATGGTGGAAGTTACTGGGGCCACACTGGGACACATGCATGCACCTGGGGACATGGGACGTGACACAGGGACACTGTCACCCAGGTGAGAAGCCAGGCGAAGCCGTGCCGATGAGCTGCAATGCTGAGCCTGGTGCCAGCCCCCATCCCAGCTCATTCCATCCTCGCTGTCCAGCCAGCCCTGGCCAACGCGACCACAGCACTTGCCAATCCCTGTGCCACCCACGCCCCTGCCAAGAGACATGGGGACGTCCCCACCAGTGCCAGGGAGCTGCTGTGCCATGCCATACCATGCCATGCCATGCCATGCCATGCCATGCCGGGGAGCTGCTGGGGACCAGTGGGGGGGCAGGAGGGTGTTTCACTAAAACGGAAACATTTCGTTCCCATCAGGGGCCTTGGCACCCACTGGCATGCACGGGGCAAATCCACACGGAAAACCAAAACCCCCCACTGTGGCCATGGAGCTGGGGGGTGGGTCAGGGGGGGATCAGCAAAATCCCCTCTGTCTTTGGCACACTTGCCATGGCATCCAGCACGGCCATTTCTCACCTAAAAGACATTTAGGTGAAAAATTTCCAGCCCAGCTCAAAAAAAAAAGAAGAAATATAGCTACAAAAATAGTGACAATTTCTCAGCTGAGAACTTTGTGCTGGCGAAATCTGCAGATCCTGTCACTGAGACGTTCCAGAAATTCAGCCCGGTTTTGTCATGCTGGCCAAGTTGGAAGAAGAGAAGACAGAAACCATCACCGGCAGTACCCCGCTCCGTGGAGATGGAGGATTTCTGCCTCAGGGGCCACACAGTCAGTTTTAAGAACCCACCAACAACATTTTTCAAATATTAAAAATCTTTGGGGAAGAAAAAAAAAAAAACCAAACAAAAGCAGCCCTTCCTGCTGGGAGGTGTTTCCTGGGTGTCCCTTGTCCCCCAACCCTCCCCTCGGACCCAGCGCCCGCAGGGACACACCCCTGCACGCCTGGGGGTGCCTGTCCCCCCTCAGCCCGGGGACGGCAGCTGGGGATGGGGCAGGGGGAGACGGGACGGACCGGAGGAAAAGGCTGTGGCCACCAGCATTGTCCTTGCGCAGGGAGCGGGACGGGGCTGGGCCGTGGGGCAGGCAGTACCCAGGCTATGGGGCAGGCGGTCCCCAGGCTGTGGGGCTGGGGGGCTGCAGCACAGAGGGGGAAGGTCTCTTATTGCTTTGAGCAGCTGCGATGATGCCCATCGCACGCACACGCTTTGGATGAGATGGAGGCAGGGAGGGTCCCAGGCAGGCGGTGGCAAGGGGGGGGTCTCTCCAGCCC